GGAGAATTAAAGAAAGATAGCAACAGCACCCAAAGTGACCAAAATCACACGGCCTCCATCATTCATCAAATGTAGAAAGTTTGTGGAGAATGATTTTCTTAGGTCTAACTGCCAAGGAAAACCTATCATGAAATGGAAGGCCTCGGTAAGACATACAATCAATAAGCCAATCATTGAGATGAATGGGTTTGAGAGTTTTCTTTGAGATGGGATAACTTTTCACAAGGAAAACTAACAGCCCTTCTCAAATGACGTTTTTTTTGGTAGTGTTGTGAAAAAAGCCATTTCTCACTTACAGGCACTCGATAGAAGTACAAAACTTTGTTGGATTTAGCTAATAAACACCAAAATAAGTCTTAAACTATGAGAAGAAAATTTTCCTGATCTATTTCAACAACAACTATGAGAACACACAATCACAGGAAACGAAAGGATATGTGGCTTCATTAATCCCACCCCTGCATTTAATCATGGTGATGGCAGCATCAGTATGTTTTACTGTGACAGAGGCAGGGGTACCAAAAAAAATCATTTCTGATTCTGAAAGCTTGAGATATACAACTCAGCCTTTATAGATTAAACTGAGGTGAATATGCTCAGCAAATAAATGCTGTCAGCACAAATTGTTTTGTGCTATCTGAGTCATTGCTTTGGTCTTTTTGAAAGACAATTACACACATTTTTTGTGTAATTATTTGTAGAAGTGATTACCTGTAAAGGTTTTAATTCAGCCTGATGAAACTTCTACTGGCTAATAAAATGAATGACAGTGGAACATGGTCCTGCTGTCAATGACTGTCAATCTTTAGCCATGTTTGACTTTAATTCACGTTATTTGGTGTTAAGTTTTCATTTTTAAACTTCAACAAACATATATTTTATTCATTTTTTCACTTGAAGAGGCTTGGAAAAAATGTTTTAACCAAGATTTGTCAATGTAAAGAAGTCCATATGATCTATAGTTTTTTATATTCCAAAAGGTGTGGTTGTTTTTTTTGTCATTTTTGTGGCTGCTGAACTTGTTAATGCGCTTTTATCCACAATGACCGCTAATGACTGGCTTCAAATGATCTATGGGAAACTTAGTCACTGCTCCATCGTCATCTCGCAGGTGACAAAGGATTGGCTTTTATGCACAGCGGTGCAGCCTGCTGGAGTCTGTGGGAACGAGTCAGTGTTTGGATGACACTGACAGTGAGAGTTAGCAGGGTGCCTGTCGTCCAGTTAAATCCAGATCGTACTCATAGAGTCAGACACGCATGAGCAGGCAACACACGCACGCAAGCACACGGCCAACCGCACGCATCGGCACACACACCAGCAAACAAAAACACAAGCAAGCACACAAACATGTAGCAGGGGGCGGCTTATTCAGGGCTCTCTTCCCTCTGGTGTTGTTCCAGTTGTTGGGGACTCAGGTCACACAGCTGCCAGCTCTGTTAGATACAGGGCTGGGAAGATATGAAGAAGTGGGAAAAGAGAGATGACAAGGAGGGGGAATAGATGAGGGAGAGCTGAGAAAGAAGATGACAAGTGTTTAATCTTTCTTACTGTACTTGGTGATTTTGTTAGCATTTTCTAATAAACATATTGCTATTGTCCAGTATTTCCCACCGAGAAGCTGATTCTCTTTGTTGCCTGTCTGTGGTTTTTATAGAATTTTGTCATACCTCTGATTTTCACTGCAGTTAACCCTCTGAAAAAATAATCTGAGGCTATTTTGCTCCTTAAAGCTGCTAATTGTAGTGTCTACTTGGCAAATCTATTTACTTACCGCTGTGCTGCTTCTTACCTTCTTTCAGAGTTGTGGTTGTAATGAAAAAACAGTATTACAGTGAATCCTTTCTAATGTTCCACAGATGAGAGGATATTCAGTCAAAGCAACACCTGTCAGCATGGAGTTACCATTCAATTGCCGTTAAATTATTTTACTACAAATTATTCAGCATCTGTTAATAACATTTGCACATCCAGTAGTTGGTGACAGTATGCACTCGTTGGGCTAATGCCAGCATAACTCAGATGGCACATAGATAAATCCACACCACTTTAGACAGCGGAAACACAAAATACACTAAAGTCTCCGCAGGTAGATGAATATGGACAGATGGCATTGAACTCTGTAACCTTTTGCTCTAGAACATGACCCAGACATGCAAATTGCCTGCCTTTCCAGCACACCATGTTATGCATCCAGTTTTTATGATATCATACATATAGAGTAAACACAGAATGATGATTTTGTTTTAAGCTCTTTATGTTCTGAATACATATCTGTAGATCTTTGATTAAATAAAGATATTTTTTGTTTGTGGACTTGTATTTAAACAGCTAAAGAAAAAATATATGTATATGCACGTGTAGCATTTGAGCAGCTCTCTTGTAAAACTGTTACACTGTGTAAAAAGATCAAAGAGCTTATACACACATAATAACAAAGTTCACTGGTATTTAACCCTACCTGGCCGACTGAGTCATAATTTTTAACCTCTTATAGGCCATCCATGGAGCAGTTAGAAAGATCACTTAACATCACTAGCAGCTGAGTCGAACCCCTGAGCGTCCAGACGGGATAGCGCTGTGCAAGTGTGTGTATGTACTTGGGAACTGATGTGTGCACATGTTTGTAGTAAAAGGCAGATGGGAATCCTATGAGCCATGAAGTAGAACATGTTATTATATTATTTTCGATGGGGGGGCAGTTGCGTTTTAAATGTTGCCTGACATGGTTTCCCTCCCCTAACACGTTCCTCTGGGTTTCAGTGCCACAGAAAATTGAACCAGGGCCTTCTGCCCGTTAGAACACCGGATAAATCTTTACATTATGTCCTTAAAATGTCTGACTTCTGCTGAGTCGCAGCCTGGCGCCAGATGCTGCGTGGTCCCTGAGCTTGTTAGCTCCAGTCTACTGTGCACGGCACCATTTGCGACCGAACTACTTGTCCTGATATTAGTTCCAGTGGAAGCTTCTGGAAGTGAGATGTATGTAGTTCGATATTCATTTAGATTTGAGGTGGAGACTAGTGGCAAGTATGGCACTGAGTCTTTGTCATATCATGGCGAACCGTAACCAGTCACACCAGTCTTAGTGATACTGAAGACAGGATTGCAAGTCACATGGGCAGCTGCTAAACAGAAAAGAAGATTTTTGTTCAGACTCATGGCAGATAAACACATTTCACGGATGTGCATGCGTCCACCAACACACACACAATTCTGTGGTTTCTAGTAATGTAGTAACAACTGCCTTCAGGGAAAAGCACACCCTGTAAAAAAGTTGGTATTTTATTGTCTGTGACAATTGATGTCGTAAAAACATATAAGCACCAAATTCATGACACCAATTTCCATCTTAAAGCATATCTCCATTTAGTCCTCTTTCTTGCCCCTTTCTTCATAAAAGGAAATGCATCTCTGTTATCTTACACCACATGGTTTAACAACGTGAACAGCCTCTCGAGACTATCCCTTAAATGTCTATTTGTCTGCGCACACACATTCACACAGACAGCACTGATGGTGTGTGTGAGGTCACCGTCTGCAAATGTGGCATTCGATGGCATAATTTGTTGCAGACAAACAAAAACAGACGGTGTGCTGTAAACATACACGGTTTCTATGACATCACCAACTTGTTTAAAAAGAGGGAATGATTCAGCATAAGGAAAAAGACACCAGTTTGTGCCATTAAGCTGAAAATTAAAAAATGGTTTAAGTTTAATTGTTTAATGATTAACTGTTTCTCTACTATTAATGCCAAAGCACATTGTTATATATCCATTATTTTTTCTGTTGATGTAATGTGAACTCATATAGAGGCCTGCCAAAAAAAGAAACAAAAGAATCATAATGAAGGTTAATGATTGTTGTACACTAAACTGAATGAACCTGAAGTTCCACTGTCACAAGGAAATCATTTTTTTTTTTTGTTGACATAGGCACTGCATGGTTAAACTATTAGGAATGCTATTTTACTGAGTTTCTTTAATCAATGTTTCAGTCGACCAAAGTAATATTTTTCATCCAAAGCATTCTATTTCATGACCCTGTCAGTCCAGGACAGAGCTGTGCAAAGTTCCACGCTGATGGCAGAAACTGGTTCTGCTGTGAGTAAAGTAAAACCACTTGTCTGTTCATCAAGATATGGGTTCAGTGTCATATGTCAAAACATTCCACTCGACAATAGAAAGGATTAAACTGAGAAAGACTCGACACATTTCTGCAGAGCTGTCAAACTGAATAGCAGAGTGTAATTTGTCAAGTCAAGACTGGCTTACGTATGCTGTTAGGCCTTTTCCAGCAGCAGTAGCTCTCCAAACAATTATATCCCTGATGATGAAGGGGGCTTACTGCAGATGACAGACCAAGAATGTAAAAGTGTTGAGGGATTATTTAACATCTTCAACATTATAAGAAATGCTACATGTCTTACAGTTGGTCTAATTTATCTGACTCCACTTGCTTTTATGTGCAAATCATTAGCTGTCATTGCCTATGTAAGGCAGAATTTGCTGTTGTTTGACAACCTTTAGCATCTTGCAAAGTTCTCAAAACAAATTGCTGTTGTTTTTTTGTTTTTTAAAAATCATTGAACCATCACTCAAAATGTTCAGTTTCATTACCACTTATGCAATAAGAAATGGAGATTGGCAAGATAATTGCACCTTGCAGGTACGATTAAGAAGAGATTAAGCGCCTCGCCTGCCTGAAACACACACTTTAGCGTCATAGAGATTAAACAACTGCCTGCATTCCAAGAAACTGTCCCTTTCAGAATCAAACTCTAACCATTGTGTCTCTCTGAATTGGAGTCACATCATAGAAGTATCAGTCTGAGCATGGCACTCACAGTTATTCCTGCAAACCCGGAGGAATTGGCAGTGTTCTATTGTCTCTTTGTGCTCCCAGAGCCCAGTTGTTGAGAACAAACAACAGCACGACAGTGAGAAAAAACAAGTCAAAGAGGGGTCTCGCCTCTTCCACAGCATTTGACCGCCAAGATGGGACAATCTCAGACGCGTCCCACTCAAGGTGTCCCTTTTGGGGCTATGCCACCTTCTCCTAGAACGGTGTGCGCTTTTCGGATAGCTGAACCGTGTCAGAGGTTCTGCTGCCACCACCCGCACTTCAGCTTTCCCGAAAGAGCTATGAGCTACTCACCCCCTTACTCACCGAGTCTCTTCAAGAGGCCAGATCGGCGGTAAGTGGGGGCGGCAGGGGACAGTAAGGAAATTTGTCTTGTGTGTGACGCGGCGCTTGGCAGGACGGTGACATGTGTCAGTGACAGATGTGCACTTCAAAGCCAATTCAGGAGAAGGTGCCTGTAGACTGGCAGCGTGTCAGGGTGATAAGAATGGAGCCATGATGCAGAATTCTTCAATTTGTCACGGGGAATAAGTCTAATCAGCTGGAAGAAATGCAGCTATAGCTACATGACGTTTTATAGGACGCAAAGGAAAATAGCAAAAGACATAAAGCTGCAACCAGTATTCTTTATCAAATGTGATTTTGGATTTTTCATGCCTGGGTATTATGCTTTCACTCCTCTGACGGGGCCCTTAATTATCATGATGTTGCAATGCACATTTTGTATTTCCACTGAGGTTGTATTCAGGAATACTGTTAGCTATTGCACATACAGAACTGGCAGCAAAAGATGGTGGGTGGCAACAGCAGCATTGTCACCATTCTCCAAACCTGTTACCTGTTTGGCACAGTATATCACACAGAGGAGCATCATATGCAATCTAAGGGGCCAAAATCTGGCAGCTTGTTAAATTTATTGAGACATCTCATGAGGAAAGCCAAGGTCATGTGCCTTTCTGCTATTTGTTGCTCAGGAGACTGGAGGAGATGCGATAATGACTGCCTCTGGGTGTCCGAGCATGTGGAGAGAGTTTAGTATTCAGCGTCTGTAGCCAGCCTCGTTGCCCACACCGACAGCTTCCTCTGAGATAGCCTCTGGCTGCAACCTATGGCAGCCGTGTGTACTGTCAGGCCACAGTTATACAGGCCATGCATTCCTAATGGAAAATAAGAAAAATCAGCCATTGTCCAAAAACAATCTGAAATTTTTGTTTTTGCTTTTCTCCTGACAATTTTTGCCATCTGCATTTCTTCTTGTGACGTACACGTCATCTTCAACCATGGGTGTCAAAGCCTCAAATTGCTGCTCATACCAGGAGCCGGATGGTTGGCAGTACATTTCGGCCCTTTTTTTTTTTCATCCCTTACTGCAGATGAACAGAATTATATAACAGGTTTGGCTCTTGCAGAGGACATCTGATGGGAACAGTGGCCCATTGCTGTGCTTTGGAGTGACTCACTGGATTTTGCTCTGCCAAGCCTGGTTAGGCACTAAGTGTTCCTCAGAAATAGGAGATGCTTTATTTTTTTCAAAGCAGGCATGACTTGTCAATATGTGTGGCACATAAACTATTTAGAAACAGCTAAAGCAAATTAAGTTGTTTATGTGTTGTCTGTACTGGAACAGCTCTGATTTTTTTAGCAGAGTAAGCAGAGCAGGAATATCCAGTCATCCTTGTGTATATTTTTGTTAAACGCTGTAAGGGTTAGTTGTTTCTATCTGTGCATTCCAGCTTAGCGATGGGACTATCTCAGCGGGGCAGGGGAATTCACCTGCTTCTCATTGTGAAAACAGGGCTTGAATTAAACCTGGCAGTTCTACAGTCTCCGCATGAAATTGAGACGGCAGGGCCTGTGGGCCCTTAAACCCTATCTATGTTTATTCTGTTTAGCCCTTTTAGGCCCACCAGATGCTTTCCCTTCCACTTTTGTTTCTTTGTGACGTAACAGAACTGTGAAAAAAAAGAAATATAGCAGCAGTCGTACACTTAAGCAGAGATCCAAGTGTTAAGGGCCCGGGGGTCATCATTTTAAACGCAATGGAACTTTTTCAGTCTCAAGAAAACAATTCAGCATTTGTGACTTTTGTCGAAAATAGAAACATTCTTGAACATTTTGACCTCTACCTCCAATTTATGTCAGCCAAACTTTATCTTATTCTTATCAAATAGAGCTAGTTTGCTAAGTTGTATAAAGCAACGCATGCATGAAACTTCCATGACGGCTGCTGGCTAGCTCATAATAAGCTACTAGTTGGTCTATTGGAATGAGATCTGTTATCCAGCGGCTCTGAAAAATGTAACAAGCTTATTTTTTATATTGAATCGGTTACAAGTGGACAGACAAAACACATAAAGTGCCTGCTGAGTAGCACTGCACAATATAATTAATGTTATTAAAACCTGCATGAAGCAAAAATGAAGGCCACTGTACAACAACAGACTCAGATGCAACTCAGTGGAAAAAGCTGTTGGGGAAAATACAAGACATGTTAATTAACAATGAGTGCTTTTTCAGTATCTATAAGTGTCCGCAGTTTGTTTATTAAATACCTTGTAGGAGATAGTTGCGTCACAGGTAGCAGAAAGTTCAAAATATTACCTGAAGTGTGATAAGTCATATATATGGAGCCGACCTGATGCAGCTCTGTCACTGAATATCGGTGGTGCAACTATAATGGTGTAGACCACACCATAAGAAATGTTTATGTTCTCTTGAAACATTGTTTCGGTACACATTGGAATGAGTTCTTGAAGTGCAGTAAGTGGACATCAAATAATGGATGGAATGATGTTGTGTCCTGATTGCATTTGTGTGTGTGATTATGTAAAGTTGCATAACAATCTTAAAATGCCAGGAATCCAGTTTATGGAAAAATACCATTTAAAAAAAAGCTGAGGAACAGATCTTCTGTTCAAGATACTGCGACCTATGCATGCTGTTGCCTATGTTTTCACCACTAGAGACCACTAGAGGTTAAACAGATAATGAAAGGAAATTTACCAAGACATAAGGTGGAAAAGTACCTATATGCAGCATGTGTGTGCACATGTATGAATGGCGCAGTTCATTGTGCTAAACAATAAACAGTTCAGCAGGTCCTGTTGATAAAGCGATTGTTGGTGGAGGGTTGCCAAAGTTATCAGTGATATGACCAACGACGCTTGGCTGGTCAGGGGTCATTGATATACCAGAAGAGCTTGAAGTGATCATACTTAACTCAATCACACTCTGAAACCCCTGATTAAATCTTATGTTCAAGCAGACAATATAAAACAAAAACGCTTCAGAGATTGCTGAAGTTCAACAAGATGGAACACTGTGGCACATCATTTCGATTAAATCGAGTTTTCATTTGCTTTTTGCTTGTTTGCAGCACATGTTTACGTTCATATTCACTTGCTGCGGTTGAAAAAAAATCTTCGTCTAATGTTCTGTGTCTATCAACTGCTGGGGATTTCGGTCTGTGGGTTATCAGCATAAACGTAGCATGTTGTTGAGTACAGAAGTTCAGACGCTGGTCGCACGTAGCGCTGCATTCAAATGCACTCTGTAAAAGTGAGTGTCACAGCGGGGCTTTTTTGTGCTCCTTTGCTGAAAGAAAGTTGTTGTTTTTCTCGACAGATGTAAGATTTGAATTAACTGACCGTTTAGCGTTGCACAACATTAGAGCATAAATATGACTTTATCTGTTAAATATCTTTTTATGAGAGAAACTACTGTGCGTTTGTCCGTCAGTGTGCATTCTCAGAAATGTACGTTTCCCTAGATTCTGAATTAAAAATGAACAAATGCAGTGAGACATCCTTACAGGCCTGATGAATGCAATGCAATTCATGTTCAACAGAGTAAACAAATCCACAAACATCTGTGGGAAACACATGCCTGTGGGACATTGACTGTTATCATTCTTGCTTCCTTCTCTGTAGTTAAAGGCAACCTCGTAAAAAAAAAAGTTTCTTGAGCAGCTGAAGGTGACAAAACCTGCCAAGTTGTTTATGAATGTCTTATGGAAAAATTTTAAGGGGGGGGGGGCAATTATCAGGGTGTCGTACTGTTCAAGGGTCGTTAGTTTTTCCTACACTACAGAAAGGCACCACCAGTGGGGCCACCTCCTCCCCCCACAGATTAATTTGCCTAAAATATGCGCGCGTCAGATGACGTCAGAGCAGCCGCAGTACAAATACTAGCCGGTGGCAGAAATAGCATCAGACAGTCGCTTGTAAATAGCAGCGAAGCTGACACACTTGACACAGCACTGAGCTCAGCCCGAAGCGAGACAGTGCATCGCTACCAAACGACGAAACAAACCCGGATCTATAGTTCGGTGACCAGCCAATCGCAAACGTGGCGAGAAGCATTATCCAAACGAGTCTTGTACTCAACATGAGCACGGAGATGTTCGCCAAAACGCCAATGGAGGTAGCCGTCTACCAGTTGCATAACTTCTCCATCTCGTTCTTCTCCTCGCTGCTCGGAGGAGACGTCGTCTCGGTCAAACTCGACAACAGGTAACTTTGCCGGTTTGGTCGAACCTGTGTTTGAACTGCGTTTTGCTCGACGACATATTTGAGTTTTTTCGAACCGAGCCCGGGAAAAAAAAGCGTGTTGTGTGGCTCTGGCGGAGGCCTCCTGATACCGAGTGTTGGTCAAATGAATTGTCCGATAAAGCTCGTGGTAACAAACGCTGTCTGCTCAGCTGTGTTCCTATCTGCTGCTGTTTATTTGAGCTTTGGACACCTACTCGGGCTGTTGACCCTATTGGCATTGGCTTATAATGTTCTGGTCGTATTGGCGCCTAAACAAACCCAAATGCAACCCCTTAAAGTAATAGGTTTATTCGTTTTTTGTTTGTACAATGACAACAGGGAGAAAGCAGTGTGATGCGTTTTGCAAGCTTTCTGCTCTTTGTCTCAGGGATGTGTATGCTATCAAGGGATTTCCAGTAAACGGTAGTCTTGTTGTGAACTGTTCCCTAATGAGTTTTTCCCTTTCTTTTTTGCAGTGCCTCTGGTGCTAGCGTGGTGGCTATTGACAACAAGATCGAGCAGGCCATGGTAAGCCACCATAACAAACAACACACTTGCTCATACACTCATTCATTTAGCAGCGACTGATCTGCAGGGTGAGGGCAGCTGTCCAAAGCAGGCCGCCAATGGATCCCAGATGTGTTGCTTATGGCATACAGGAAACCCGTCATGGATTTCTTAAATAGATTTTGGGCCAACTTTGAAAAGTAACTTCTGAAGCTACCTCAGATCAGTGAAACGGCCCTAACATTAAGTTTCTCCTATGCAAAGCAGCCTGCTGCGGGTTTTATTGTCATGCTAAAGAGATGACGACAGCAGAAGGCCAAATTCATTCCAAACGCCCTTAGTCAGGAAAATGAATGAGTGTTGCATGAGGAAATTGTCTTGTGAAATGAAGTGGTGGGCCTTAATATCTAAAACTGATCCCTCTGTGTTGTCTCACGACAGGATCTTGTCAAGAACCACCTGATGTACGCAGTGCGTGAGGAGGTGGAGATCCTCAAGGAGCAGATCAAAGAGCTGGCGGAGAAGAACAACCAGCTGGAGCGGGAGAACTACCTGCTGAAGAACCTGGCCAGTCCAGAGCAGCTGGAGAAGTTCCAGTCTCGCATCCCGACAGACGTGCTGCTGCCCCTGGACAATCAGAGCGTCCAGATGGCCGCAGAGCAGCAGCATCAGCAGCAGCAGCAGACCTGCAGCCACAGCTCTGGCTCTGCTGTATAAGTGGCTCTGCCTTGGGGCGGGCAGAGCCACTGTTTCTTTCCAGTCATGGACCTCCGTTTGAACGCAAGCGTAACTAAATCGGCGCCGCCGAGATCCCTTCGTGCAAAATGTAAAAAATCGAAGGCGACGCATCGGGGCTGTAAATGATCGATGGGACAGAAAGTTACTGTTCACACCGATGGGCACAAGCAAGAACTCGAGATGCTCTGAGCGGTGCCATGTCAGGCCCATCTTCTTAAACCGTCCAGCTCTTTGTCATAGTCTCACTTTGTAGACACAAGTGTTAAGAATAGAAGACGGGCTAGACACAGATGAGCAATTTCCTTCCGACAGAGGGTTTTTTTCCCTGCCTAGCCAAACACCTCCAGCAGACATCCTTCACTCTGGAGAGATGGGGTGAGGACGTGTCGTTTGGGCTCGCCCTGCAGGCGCTAACCCGGAAAGTGTAGGGAGTTTGCTCCCACGTGTCCCGGTGGAGACCCCTCTGAGACCGTCCTCCGAGTCTCAGCAAGAACAGCCCCGTCACGTGGATTTGCCCACCTCAACAAAAACAAGTTTCAAGGACTTCCAGCTGCACATTCAGTTGCACGCACAAGGACTTCCTCTGTACCTACAGTATATCGCTAATGTGCTCATGTGCATTTAAACGTAGAGAATAATCAACAGGATAAGCTAAGGCTGAGACAGAAGTGGAGGTTGAGGGCAGTGTAGTGTAGTAGAGCCGGTGAGCCGCTGCAGTAGACTGATCAATATGCTGTAATCATTCACAAACATGTAATCTCATATCGTTTGCAGCTGGGGCTTGCTGCTTATGGGGGAAATAATTCTGCGATGTCTTCTGTTTTTTGTTTGTAATCCCGAACAAAAATCAGCTTGTACAGTAGGAGCAGTGTGCGCGCTGGCTTTAACAAGTTGTTTTTGTGAGCAGTTGGGCCGCATCTGCCCACGTTTGCCTAACTCGCAGGATAACTACAGTGTACATAAAGCTGGAGTCTCCCGAGGTAAACAACATGGTTTGCTCGCAGACTTCAGCATTTTCTAGCTGCAGATGCACTCCTGTGGTGTCGTCTTTTTTGTTTGTTTGTTTGTTTGTTTTTTAACCAGTGTCACCCACTATCTGGCCTCTGTTTTACTGTGATGCCAACTTGAAACATTGGTATGACAACAGTGCCTGTAAGGTGGAGTGGAGCACATTTCTACACTGAGCTCAGCTGTTGTTGCTGTTTTTTTGTTTTTTTTTTAAAGTTACCAAAGACTGGGTTTTTTATTTGATTTCACACAGCAACGGAAGCTGAGCTACCCTGGACCATGTGTACTCTTCACAGGGAGAAGTCTTGCCCGTAGCTAATGCTAAAGTTTTGTTTTGTAAAGATGACTGTATTGTTGCTGTACAGTATCCTCTAAACAGTTGTTCACTATGGTGTTTGGATACGACTGCACATTTGCAATAAACCCTATGTTTACATAATACGATTATGTCGTTGGCTTTTATTTATTATCAGCTCTGGTTTCAGCTGATGTGGAGCATCACTGCACATTCCGGCAAAGCGGCCACTCTCATCGAACGCACAATGGGTGCAACAAAGTATGAATGCAATAGATACGCTATTGCTCTTATGTATTTTATTCACTACGTGTCACATTGGAGCAGAGCAGTGCTACATATGTGTGTAATTGTTTAGCATTCAATTTGGCAGTACATTGAAACCACAGTATTAACTTGAACTTAACTTTCACATGAGACAAACCGTCCTGATATCCATGAAAGCATTTTGGTCTCGAAAGTAGGAGTCTCTATTATGAAATCCTTGCATGGTGTTCTAGGAAGCTGTGTTGGCATTGTTTTTGTTTACAAGGCCTGTCAGGTGTCATGCCATGTGTAAAAGGTTAGTTAGCCACGGGGCTTTCGTTTCACGCAGATAACCTTTTTATCTAAAGCACTGTCCATCCACACATTTTCTATTCTTACACGCACAAATGCTCAGTAGTACTAAGAATAGAGGTCTTTTTCTACTTCTTGAGATCCACACAAACTCAAAAAGCAGCACAACCACTAATGATAGCTGAAGTAATAATAGCAAGGTTCCCTGTAGAATGGAATTTAAGAGAGGGGAAAAAACACTTTGTACTAGACACATTTTCCTTCAGATGAACTGGCAGCCAGTCAGCCTGTGTGTAACCAGATCTGTTGTGGCTTCCCTGTTGCATAGACTGGGCTCACATGTATTGAGTGCCGCCTAATGCCCCAAAAAAAATGAGGAGCTCAGCCGTGGCTTAGAGTCATCACCACGGATCAAAGTCTGTGGTCCCTTTGGGTGTTCTGTGTCAAAATAAGTGATTTTGTGCAGAGCTGATGGCTCAGATCAATACTCCCTCTGAAATGCATCCTGTACACTGTGAGGAGGGGCACGCAGTTTATTGACTGAGGTGGACAGTTATTTAATGTAGCAAACAGGAAGGGGACAGGTGTTTATTGGCTTCTTTGCACAAGATAGTTGTGCTCAGTCTTTCGACCCAGATACCGGAGCACATTGTGCATGCCAGTGAAGAGAGGCTGCGGGGTTAGCTACAGCAGAACGCTTTAGCTAACACTGCTGCTTAATCACGTGTGCTGATGGCACATGCAGCTCCAGCCACAAAGGAAAAACTAAACCCTCTGTCAAAGAAAGCATTCCAAGGAATGTAGAGCTTCACAAAATGCTTAAGGAGCATCGGTTTCAATTTCACCTCGGTTTAATCTGTCATCCGATTCTGGGACTGGTTCTCAAACATTGTGTTCCAGAGGCTTTTTTAATGTTTTTTTGGAAGTGACTGATGATAAGTTTCTAAGCATGGACAATAGCTGATATATTTCAGGGAAATGCAGGACAGATTTTTCTCTTTATCAGATCTATGATTAAGTGTCCTCTTCAAGCCATTTTAAGGGCCTTTAGATTGTGTATGGGTTTGGTAATGTGAATATTCTTCCCATCTTACTTAAACAAGCTCGACTGTATCTTCCATGATAATAAGTAAGCATGCAATAAATGAATGGTTTGACCACAATGTTCAAAATGAAAAAAGCTGTCAAACATTGATCTCACCTCAGAAAAACCCTCACCAGTCGAGCTGTAGAGCATAATTTTCTTTTCCGGGCCGAGCTCCTAATTGAAGAATGCATAAAAATAGAAAATCTGAGTCAAGGCCTAAGTTAGTCTGTGTAACTTCATACAAAGCAGAGTTAAAAATTAAAGCCTTGGAATGAGTTTTGGTGAGGGATTAATCCTCAGATTGTCTGGCAGCCAAACGAGGAGTTTTTTGGGGGGGTGGAATACAAGCCTTATGCAACATATAAACACACAGCAAGAGGAAAAAATAGAACATTTGTTTCAGCTGGAAACCCGGGGGTAGTGTTGGGGTAAGTGTGGTTGGGTTTGCATGCAGGAGAATAATTTGGTGGGACTGTTCTTTATTGAGACTCATGCAGCTTGCGTGTCTTCTGAATGTCACCACATTCAGCATGTCAGCATCAGATTCAGAGATAAATTAAACAAGTGCAGAGCTGTGTCACACTGCCTGGCAGGAAAAGGCAGCCCATTTCTTATGATATGAAAGACTTGCTCTGTTTTTTCTTTTGAAAAAGACTTCAAAAGAGCTACAAATTACCGGAGACAGACGCTTATGTAATTGTGAAGAAAAAAAATGAATTTCTGGCTTTCTCATGTCGGGAAGCTGTTTACTTGCTTCAAGGGCACAACACACAAGTACACACTTGCAGCTACTTTGTTCCACAGTGTCAGAGCTCACCTCAGAGAAGAAAAGAAGAAGAGAGCAAACATTGCACGTCTACACGCTCAAAGGATTCCTCCTGATGCAGTTTACGGAGGGTAATGCCTTACACTTTATCCGTTTTACTCGGCTTCAGTTGGCAAAGGAAGCGTAATGGCGCTCACCCAGTTTGCCCAAGTTTGTGATGTCTGATCATAATTGTGTCGGTTTCTTGCCATTTTTCCTAACTCAAGTATACACAGTAAACAGTTCATCCATGCAGACAAAGCCAGTGTTTTGCCACAGACTGGTTGGGATGCCTTACATCATGATTAACCAAAATGAACCCAAGCGAAAAAGTCTGCCCTTTGTCTTTGTTTGACCCATTACAAATGGCAGTCTATTTGTAGGTCTTCAGTAATGGACGTTTCAAGATGTTCTATAGATGAATCTTCTGGAGGGTTTGACCAAACACGGGAATGTTTGGGTCCTGTGTGTGGTGCGGTTTAGACTTCTGGAAACATTGTGTGTTAATCATTCCCTTTGGCATGGACAGATTACTGAGTCTGTGTGGCTCAGGGCAAAAAGGATCAGAACCTATCTGGTTTTATTCCAAAAATATCAAATTCAATCTTTTTCGATGGGACTGGAGCCCATACACGCCGACTATGGACAGGAAGCAGAGTATACTTGCTATGCTAATACTAACCCTAACCCTCTCCAGTTCAACGAAGAAGTATATATTTCAGATATGTGCATATGTTGGTACATGTATGAATATTCCATTATGAAGAATTGGTCAATGCTTAAAAGTCAGATGAACCACACATGACATCCATTCATTGTCATTGTTCATTTAACAAAATATAATCCAGAAAGGAGAAGCAGTGCATGAAATCCAAGTTCAGTCCATGACTAAAAAGCTTGTATTACCACATTTAGCAGAAATAACTAGAAACTGTCATGTTCTGTCTGTTATCATCCGTCTCCCACATGATTGTGGTGGAATTTTTTGGCCCGCTCTTCGTACCGTGATCGCTGCAGTTAAAAGAACATGTTATTTGTGCAAAGTACTCTAAAGTCACTGCAGCACTTCACCAGAGTCCAAAGGCGGGACTTGGACTGGGCCATTTGCGAAAATGTGCCTCTTTTCTTTTTCAGCCATGCTGTTGTAGGAGTGTTTATTATCTCATTGCATAAACCAGTCGCAGTCAGTTACTGTGAGACCGATGGCCTCACATCTGACTTCAGAA